TGAAGTGAATCGTTCACTTTACTTCCTTTCTTTCTACCGTCCCTGCTCAACAACTCATACGATTTAAATCCGCCCCGCTGTTCCCGCAAGGTCCCCCGTCAGCTGAGGGTCTCCACGATACGGAAGATAAGACCATCACCCCATTAAGGCCGGGCCTGAAGGCATACTCGTGAGGTCGACGAGTATGCTGCTCTTCCCCGATGGCGACGTCAACGGCGACGACGCCAAACGCGACAAGCTCGCCGCCTTGCCCGAGGAGCTCCTCATCGAGACGCTGAATCGCCTCTGCCACAAGGACCTCTGCAATGTATCGCGCTTGAACAAGCGCTACCATAGGTTGGCCGATGCCGTCTTGTACAAGAGCGTTCACTTTCAGAGCCCGGAGCTTCATCTCACTTTCAGCGAATCGCTGGGCCGGCGACCGCGGCGTGGTTCGGCCATTAATGAGGTGAAATTGATTTATCCTAATGAGGAGCTTTCGCGCCTGGCCCTCGACGCACCCGTTCACAACTCTCATTATGACCCCACGCGGTCCGATACTCTTTCGCGCACACTTTCCGTCATGTCAAATCTGGAAAAACTCGACATTGCTGTTCCTCACGTCCTTTTACACGGCATCGGTACCCTTTTCAACGGGCCGTTCGACTTGGCGTACCTCAAGGAGTGCACACTATTCTACCAGTGCGCCGATGACGCCTACTGGGACCTGCGAGAAAACATCCACATCTTTGCTCACCCCACGCTGGAGACCCTGATCATCAAACGAGCCAAACTCGACGAGAAAGGATTCGATTTCATGGAGCGTCCCCACGAGACCGGACTGAAGAAGTTACACCTTCTCGAATGCGACATTAACGATGACGGACTCTCAGACCTCCTCGAATTCCCAGAGGGCCTGGAAGAGTTCGTCATGACGCAGACGGCAGAGCCGAAGCCCGAGCTGGAGGAGAGCTCCGACAACTTTGCCGACTACGTGCTCGCCCTCAACTCCCAGGCCCACTCACTTAAGACGTTCACCATTGACTCGCCAACGCTCGGCTGTCGCAAACCGTTGAGGATGAGAGAATTCGAGGCGCTCAAGAGTATGAGGATGAACTGGGACTACCAGCTCTTTGGAAAGACGTCCAAGAAGCCGCGCATGCACTCGGTCGGTCTCCCACCAGAGATGGAGATTTTGGAGTTCTTCAACGAGATGGGCTCCGACGAGGAGGTGACGGATCTTCTTCTCTACACGATTCAGACCAAAGACGTCGTCGCCAAGGCCTGGAAGACCTTTGTGGTGCCCGAGGGCGACGCTGGAGTTTCACGTGAGATCAAGGAAGCGTGTAGAGAGCACGGCTTGCAGCTGGATATTATCGGGGCATTCGACACAGACGGTGAAGCTGATTAGAAGAAAAAGACTTAGAAACCAAAGACCAAACAGAGGAGGCTAGAAGACTTGGAGTGAGAAGTCAAAGTAAAGACAGAGGAACAGCAAACTATACGTAGAAAAGTATAAACGAAGAGTAGACGATGATTAGATGACAATAGATGAAGACCAAGACCACATCCAGTATATCCAGTGCTTTGGCTCAGTCAGTCTCTCCCCAAACTCGAATGATGAACTTGTAGGCTTTTACATCATTTGATTCAATGCTGTTCGCACCAGATGAGCCGGACCGGACATGATCACCGTAGATCGCGGCTCCACTAGTCGCGGTCAGAGTTCGGGCCCACCCGCCGCCGTCTCCGGACTTGCGGAGCCTAGTACGGACCAGGCTTCTCACCCCAGATTTAACATCAGCTGGGCGATGGTACAGTAGACAACGACAACTCTTTTAATCATCCACAACATTTACAGAAACATAGTGCATCGAGCCACAATTTGCGAACCCAATGAACACGATGCTTCAAACCGGAGTGTCCTCCCAAACATTACCTCTAACTAATACGTCAGAGAGCGTCAAAGAGCATCACGCCATCGGGGGCCGTCCGACCAGCTGTATAAAGGATTATAGAAGCGCACATCGGCAGAGCTCCCACCGGCATACTGGATACGGGGGCAAGCGGAGAATAGCGAGTACCGCTCAAGCGATATCTACCTTGGGAAGAAGCAAACCAGTCAGAGGCCAGACGGCTATGCATGATAGTCTGTAGGCTTCTACGTCACAGACAGCTGACATAGCTTTGTGGGAGGAATTCAGACGTGTCGGATACAACGTTCTCTCAAATGAGTGGTGAGCTAGGCTTACATGTGATGCGGCACACTCCTTGAGTCTCTACAAAGTGCGTCAACCATTCAGCCACTACGGTCCACTCCTTCATGGTGGGCTGTCATTCGTAGCACAGAAGAGACTGAACAGGAGGATATGCCATGTCGGATCTTTGAATTATTCAAGCGGGACAGGAAGTCTGTCGAAATTTGACATAATGCCACTGAAGTCGTTGGATTTTGGCTTGGGTGATGGGAAACTGGGCAATGGCCTGCCTGGGAGCTTATTCAGGTTCTCTTCTGGGCGCTTCAAGCCAAAGCAAGCGTGGGAAAAGGTGCCAATTTCCCACAGAAATCAAAGGCACTGAAAAAAGTCACGCCTCCGTATTGTTTAGCCATAGGCGTGATATCCCCACCACCGTATTCACCATCGACTAACTAAGCCAGCCGGCTTTTACTCTCTGGCCTCGCTGTCGCCGTTGCTTTGGCCGCTGCCTCAGCCTTTTGCTTCCGAATCGCCGTGCTGCTAATCTTGGACGCGAAATTCTCCGTCTCGCTCGCCCCCTCTCCTTGCTCACTGGCATCCAACACCTCCACTTCAAATGTCTCCAGCGGCTTCCACCCTTGCGCCGTCCGCTTGTCGTTGACGGCCTTTCCTCCCGACCGCGTCTCCCCCGAGTACACGAGCACATCCATCTCCTCCAGCGTGACCGTCGGGCCATAGACGTCCTGGAACTCGACACATTCGACGACGATGGCGCCGTCGCGAAAGGTGGCCTCGACGCGGCCCGGTTGTCTCGTCACCGTTTCTGCCGGGCTTGTCTTCTTCTTCCACCCGCTCTTGTTTAGCTCAAGAAGGGATGATAAAAAGTCGAGAGTGTAGTTGGTTCTGTCATCCCATGATTGCACGAGCTCTGCGTGTTTCTTGTTGACCAGCATCTGGTCTCCGGTGATGCCGACGATCAAGCGGCAATGCGATGTCGAGTCCTTGACCGGCACCCGGAGTAGAAGTACGGCTGCCGTGAGGAGTAATTTGTGGCCGGGGTGTAAATGGTCGAATGTCCCCCCTAGACAGACGATGTTGTATCCCGGGGTATCTTCCACTGGATCCTCGCTCGATCCCTCGACATTCATACTCAGACCTGCCTCGACAACCACCAGTTGCGACTGCAAAATCGTTTGCCTACTCTCAGCGAACTTGAGATATGTCGACAATGTACGATAGCCTTGTTCACTATTGATATGGAAGATGAAGTTCCAGGGGTGGTATGCCGAGGCAAAGGTCGGCAGGTCCACGACCGTTGTGTTGTTAGGATCGATGGCGGCCTGAAAGTCCGGCGCAAACCTCCGGTTGGCATCGTGGTCCACCAAGACGACGCGTGCGTCAACCGCGCCAGGTCCCCCGTCGACATCGCTGGCAATGGCCTGCTCGGCGCATATCAGGGCGATGAGGCTGTAGAGACCGGCGATGAGAGACTGGGTAGCTTGCCATGACAGCGATTTGGTTTTTGGTGATGCCCCGCGGAGAAGAGGGCCAACGACAGCCACAATAAGCACGGAAGACCGACTTGGGTTCTTGACTTTGGATAGGACTGCCTGTAGCGAGGGACGGTATGCGGCGCTGAGCGAGGCCCGTGATGGTGGCTGGGTGGGGAGCGGGAGGAGCAGTAGGCTCGGGTAGTCTTGAGAGCCCATTCTGGGAATCGGTTCGTGTTTGCACGTGACAAGTTGCAAAGAGATGTGAACAGTAGACACAAATGGTATACTATAGACAGATTTAGCAAGTAACGGCGATGTGTGCCTCAATCACGGATACAGCAGTTCAGTTGAGTTGAATCCGGTGCTGTGAGCTGTTGTTTCCCTCGGGCAGGTGGGGTGATTCCGCAGGGTAGGTAGCTCTTGCTGCCAGGCCGAGGTGAGGGGGGACGAGTCAGAGTGTGGGGCTCGCGCTAGCGATGCTGATTCATCCTTGCCGCTGCGGAGATAACGCGGGGCTGCTTCACTGTCATATGATTGGCTAACCCTATCTCCACTGGTCAAGTACGTATCCTGCCGTGTCTTGTCTCTGGAGCTCCTCAACCAACCTCTTTTTATCATCTTCAACTAACAACAACATGTTGGTCAACTCTACTTTACGCCTTGTTATTAACAAGATCCAGAGAAATCTCAGACTTTACCTTCCAGTACGATGATGCTCTCTGCTGTACTCTATCTACAATGACGTAATGGCCCATCCTTCCTGGACCGTCAACATGTCGTCAGCTTCTAGTGAAGGGGAGCCAACCCAGCTGCTGTCCGCTTCGTCCGCCGCGGAAAACTGTCGGCAAATCCGCTTCGTCTAATTCGACATCGGATCTCGACGTTCAATGTCACTGCGCCGTCCATCTGCGGCATCCGGTGGACCTCACAACCTTCCCCGCATCCGACGTGCAACCATCTTTGTCAATGGGGCGTCCAGACCTTTTCCATTCTCCCCTCGGACAACATCCTGCCGACATGGATTCTTGTCCTCGTTGTCGTCGTCGTCCCATATGGAGCATACCCCCTCTCTTTGTGGTATCCATATGGCCGACCCAGTCCTGGCTCCTCCGGCCTCCTGTGGCCCACTATCCCCAGACCATTGACTGTGGGTTCGCCGGATATCCAGCATCAAGCTCCCTCCGTCTGGGGTAACGGAGTGCCCTGGTTCCATTGGGCTGCTTTAGTTCAATTATTTCTCCTAGTCTATCGGGCAAGAGTGAGATTCGCCGTCGCGACAAGTGTCGCATTCGCTGGATCATCCCGGACTCCAATCCCGAGCTCGGAGCTTTCACGAATCCCCCAACGCAGCCAAGCTCTGAGTTCGGATCCGCAATGGCTCGCTGCAAGTGTAAGATTGGGGAAACAAGCTGTCTTGAACCGTCTCCTCGCCATGCACCTCCGCCTGCACCTCCACCATTCCATCCCACCACATCTGAGCTTGCTTGCCCGGGATCCACTGCCCTTCCGCTGTCTCTACCAAGCCGGCATTCCTCTCCTGGCCGACAACCTGAACGAAACCTGAAAGAGGGGTGGCCTGCCTGCGTGACACTCCCAGGGCCCCGTTGTTTGTCGTCACGGTGGGGTCCAACCTTGAGTCTCGACACTCTTGGACTTGCTCGTCCTCCATCTTCGGCATTCTCGCCGTTGGACAGCCATTCCCCTCTGATTTTGCACTCGTTTTCCAGTATCCTTCCTCGACCTCGTCTGGGTCGTCACTTGCGCAATTCCATCATCGTGATACCTTACACGTTCCCACGTCTAATTCCATTGGTACCCGGAAAGCTGTGGCTCTTTACAAAAACGTAGGATACGAGACCATGACCATCATCAAGAATGAAGCCGGGCAAGGCTCAAACGATGATGCCGGAATCACCGCACAAGAAAACACTACTCCTCGCATACCTTCAACCCGCCAAGCCAAGAACCAACAGGTAAGGCATAGAGCATCTGTCGCCTGCGCCTCTTGTCGGGACAGAAGAATCCGCTGTGTAGTTCCAAAGGGCGAGTCAGAGTGCGTCCAGTGCAAAAAGGCCGGTAATGAGTGCGTTATCAAGAATGACGATGAGCGGCGGCGGTATGTATACTTGAGAGCCGAATGTTCCCAGTTGAATTCAGTGTTATCTGAAATGCTGACAAAGTCACCAGACCAATATCAAAGGCGTACATGTCGTCTTTGTCCGATCGCATTGCGATGCTCGAGGGCATGCTGCAGGAGAAGGGTGTTCAACCTCCACCAGCCGTGCATCCCCCGAAGACGAGACGCGAGAACCAGCAGTTATCGGAAGAGCCAAGAGAGCAAAGAAGGTTTCCAGTCAAGAGACCAACTGCCCCCGAGGTCCCCTCGCCTCCGGATTCTGGAAACGATGACTACTCGGTACAAGGTAGCGACCACGCAGAGAACACGTCTACCACGAGCCCCTGCTTCCATGTTCCTGCAGAAGAACAATCCGCATTCCGTATACTGGATTCAACACAAGAGAACGTTGTTCACAGGCTTCTATCGACGAGAGGGAATCTTTCATTTGACCAGCCATCTGGACGGCTCCGCTTCTTCGGCCCGACAGCAAATTCTCATGTTTACTACGCCGACACTAGTGACAGCTCGCGGTCTCGTGAACCATCAGAGCAGATACGGCGTGCTGAACGCATCATTCGGACACTGACAGCGACGACTCACGACTACCTCATGAACAATTTCTGGACGCACTACAATAGTGTGCTTAAAATCATTCACAGAGAATCGTTCGAATCCGATCGAGAGTCGCAAAGCCCAAAGTTCTACTCGTCGTTCCTGCACATCGCAATCTTGGCTATGGGCTTCCGATTTGCTGATTGCAGTCGTGACGACATGAAAAGAATGGCTTTGGGGAACCGGGAGAGCACTTTGCACAGGGAGGCCAAGTACATGCTCGATGTCGAACTCGAGAGACCTGGTGGAATACCCAGCGTACAGGCCCTCCTTCTTCTCGGCGACCTGGAATGCGGCGTTGGCAGAGATAATACTGGGTGGATGTATGCTGGTAAGCCGATCGCGTGCCTCTTCAAAGAACACATAATAATGATGCTTCATCAGGGATGGCGAATAGATTAGCTTTTGACATCGGGCTCCAGTTGGACTGCCGTAACAGTGGTTTTGACGAACAGGAGGTCGACATCCGCCATATGGTGATGAGAGCCTGCGTGATATACGACAAATATTGGTCCCTATTCCTCGGTCGGCCCACGAGCATCAAAAGCCAAGATGTCGGCATGGATCTGCTATCGCGGCGCTTCTCACAGCTCACGTCGCTCATGGGAACGCCTGGGCCCACTAACAAGGAGAATCAAACTGTGGAAATCTACGATCAGCTCGTTGAGTTGATGGAGCTTGCGGGTCGTATCGTGGAAGCTAGAGACAGCCGGCAAGCACCAGCGAGTCTTCATAAGAGAGACGGAGCGGATAGCGAAGAAGATGCGTATGTTCAGAGCACCAACCTCGATCGCCAATTGCAGAATTGGTATAGGCGGTTGCCGGAACATTTACAGTGGAAGCCTGCCAACATCAAGCATGCACCGTTCAGCTACTTCCTTCTTCACCAGCAATATCACGTGTCGATGATATTGCTGCACCGTTCGTGGGCGAATTACGAAGAAGTTTCTGGCGATACTATTAGCACTGACGCAAACCTTACGCCGAATTCGAACCCTGACTCCAAAGACGCATCCGACCACCATCAATTCAATCACTCCCTAGGGACGAACATGTCACAATCAACCACAGACACAGGCCGAGTTGCATCATCGCGCAGTATCTGTAGTTTCCATGCGATTAGAGTGGCTAGAATCTTCTGGCAACACCGACAACGTTTTGACGGTACCAAGATATTCATCACCGGCATTCAGCACGCCGGTACTGCAGCAATTGCTCTGATTGCGGCACTGGCATATCACCGTTGCGAGTCTGATAGGCGAACGTACCTCGGATACCTAGAGATTCTGGCCAGCGCTATCAGCGACATGAGTCAAGCCTACCAGCCAGCAGCACGCATGGACAACCTACTGAAGGCGGTGCTTGGGAAACTCCGGACCGACAACGACAGTCTCGACGGTGCCAGCCAGCCGCCTATCATATTGACGGGCAGCGAAAAGAGTCTCCTTTCAAGTCCTGGCTGGAGAGGCAACACGGACAGTGTCTACTCCTTTCTACCAGCTAGACGTGAGGCGGAAGTCAGGGACAGCCCACCGAATAAAAGACGTCGCCCATCGACGAGCAGTCGAAGAGCGTCCGAGTTCGCTCGCCCGCCCTTACCTTTCTTCGGCGCCAAGACGCAGTCGTCGACGCGCAGGTCGTCGCAGAGCAACGTGTACGCAAACATCAGTTCTGCCCTAGAGCCCGCGACGTATCATCCAGGCGGAAACGATCATCAGCTATTCAATCTAGACTTTCTCAACGGTTCGGCGATAGATAATGATAGAGAAGGCGACGCTTCGGATGCCAAGAGCAAACCTGTGGAGGATTGCATATTTGTTTCGCCACTGTCCAACAGCTGGGCACAGGACATTACGACCAACGGTAACGCATCGCCGTCTCAAAAGGCGAATCTGCGGTATGGCGATTTAGAACTGGACGATTGGGAGTCTGGAGCATCCGGGATCGGTCTTGAGTCACCATCTAGCTTTCAGCTCAGTGGTGGAGGGGAAAGTAGCCGGGAAAGCCAGCAAAAGGTCCACAAAGAGGAACCCACTCAGAGCAGTTTCAAGAGTGAGGCCAAGGGCACAGTCATGGATCAAGGAGGTTTCGGGCCCTTTGGTCATGACGCCATGGACTGGATGGGTACCGATGGTGGTCTGGACACCATGACCTCTGTGAGTCTGATTGAGCTGGTGCAGAGTTCCATTGCTGGTAAGGCAGAGAGGCGTCCGGCGGACGAAGCGCCTAGAAACCACGAACTGGACTTTTTGAGCTTCTGAGTCAACCTTATCGCATGGGAATACAGACCCGGTTCTTCTTCTTTAGCATCCACCCTCTTTTTCTCTCTCTCTCACTCTTCGTTACTTCATCTTGGGCGTTGGTAGTCCATGGGAGTTTGCGGGCTTGGTTCGTTTCTTGACATTTGTACATGAGTACTCCTTACATAGCGTTGTAGGTAGGGATGTGCCGGCTGTGAAGCATAATTGAATAGATATCTTCTTTTGTCACCTACGTGTCCCAGAGCCATCGAAACAGGTGACACAAACCACTCAGATTCTCTAACATTGTCAAGATCACCGCGATCAAAACCACCCGCCCTCATCCCACGCCTTCCATCTCACCAACGAGACTAATGAGCCGTAAACCCACCATCAGCAACCAACCCAGACCCCTGCATAAAACTACTCATATCAGAAGCAAGGAACGTGATACCTGGATCAAGAGCCCGTCAGTCCAAGTACCAAATCGAAGATGCCGTACTTTAATCAAGATACGTAGTTTAAGAAAGACATCAAGAAAGTAATGGCAGTAAAGACTCACAATCAGCAATCTCCTCAGGCTGACCTAACCGCTGCAAAGGCGTCATCTCAACATACTGACTCAGTGGGCTCCCTGCCTCGCGCGAAAAGGGCGTCACGATGGGCGTCTCGATCCAGCCGGGACAAATCGCGTTGATGCGGATGCCTCGTCGGCCATAGTTGTTTGCGTCGCTCTTGGTCAGACCCATGACTCCTATTGTGGTTCTGTTTTAGTACCTTTACTATGTGGCGTGCTTTACCATGTTTCTCTTTCGAAATAGGGAAGGTGAAAGGAAAAGGGTAGGGGGTGAGTTGACGACGTACCGTGCTTCGCAGCCGAATACGCCGTCTGCGCCATGAAAAGCGAAGGCGAGACGACGCCAAAGATGGAAGCCACGTTGACGATGGCTCCTCGACCGCGTCTCACTCCAAGGTCCCTAGTCACAAATTCACATCAATACCAAACTCACCAAGAGTTCACCCAAGCGAATAACGTCGGAAGAAAAGAAAGATAGAAAAAAAACATACTCCTGCTCCAACATAACCCTAATCTCCTCCCTCTGACACCTCCACACCCCATACAAATCAACATCCACAATCCCGCCAAACTCCTCCTCGTCAACCTCGTGCGTCAGTTCCCCCTTACCCGCGATACCCGCATTATTCACAGCCACATCGAGGCGCCCGAACCGCGACACCGTCTCCGCGATGCCGGATTTTACTTCAGTCGCATCGCGGACGTTCAAGGGCAGTGTCAGGACCTCGGTGAAGGGATACTTCTCGCTGAGGAGCGATTTCGTGGCTTCGAGGGCTTGGGTGTTGATGTCGGTTATGGCGAGGCGGGTGATGCCGTTTCGGGCGAAGGCGAGGGCTGTTTTTTGGCCGATGCCTGTTGTTTTGTATTTAACGTCAATATTTCTCTGTTAATAAGAGGAATCGAGTAGGATGTGCGGGAGAATGATGAATGTAGGTCTTTCTAAGTAAATGAATGGGAGTCAAACGTACCAGAAGCCGCGCCAGTGATGAAAGCCGCACCACGGAGAAGAGACGCCATAATGTAATCTTGCTTGTTTCAATTTTACAAAACTCACATCTGACAATGGCGTTGAGTCCCTATACACGGGTTTATGAATGCTAATCCTGGGTGCCGACACTGGATGCGCGGATTACTGAGCAACCCGGAGTGTGCCAGCAATGCCAACTTAAATGAAAAGTCCCAATGTAAATAAGCTCACGCACTTACACAGTACACCTAAACCACAACAAAGACCGATTGATAAGACGGATGAACCGGTGAGACAAGCTGCTTCACTCCGCATACGCATCTCCATCTCATCGAGGAAACACGCGCAGCCATCTTTCCTCGGCGGTGGCATCGTCCAAGAAAGCGAGGCGGGAAGATCGCGGAGAAGCATACCCAGCGTAGCTTCCCGCGCGGGTCTATCCACACCACGGGATGAACCGCTCCCCGCAGGCCGCAGGATAAAGCAATACCCAGAGTGTTGGCACAACTTTGAGCTTCTATTGTTGGAGGTATCTGTCGAACCACCTCCTGTCACGTCATTCCCAAGTCCCCCTCTCTAATGAGGAGGTGGCATTGAGAGATCAAGATAGCGAAGGGTTGAGTGGGATGGAAGCTCCTTCGGTCAAGGATACTGTTGCGGCGCCCACCCGACGAGCACTCGCATTCCAAGTACGTCTTTATCTTTGGAAATGGTAGTTTGCTCCTTTGACGATATTCCCAAATGCTATCGCTGGACTATCAATTCGACTGAAAAAAGGAGTCATTCGCCACCGGTAATCTCTTCTTGACCCATACTACCTGATAAAACGGATTTAACCAGCCCTTTCGCACCCGCTGTTCCAACTATGGAAAGACAATGCTTGTGTCATGGGAATGACCCTCACAGCATACATGTACCAGCTTTTGTAGGTCAACACTCGTCGACTTTGTTTAGACCTTATGAAAGAAGTTCGACTCCAAGTCTCAGCATGCAGCACGTCCAAGTTGAACCCAGCCAGAGAAAAGATATGGAAACCCTCCACTGGCGACTCTAAAGTCAACGCAATTAAAGATGCCAGACTCCATGCCCCGTCGTGCATAAAGAGTTATACCGCCCTCCAACCCATAGAACAATAAGGTGGAGTATCACGAGAATCACGCTTCCTCGTAAGCCCCAAGTCCAAGGCAATCCATTGGACAGACGTCTCCCGGTTTCCCGCTCATATGGCGTTATCGGCCGCGTGCCGGCCCCGGCAAGCCCAAGATCAAGAGCAGCCAAAATCACCAATGGCGCCCCGACATTTGGGCTAACTACGTACGGCCAGCATGGGCGCGTCAGGCTGAGCATTTTGCTCAAAAAGAAGCCGAGACGCACAACCGCCAGTAGAGGTCCAGCATTGTAGCGCACAACCTGACCTGCTCGCAATCGGCTAATCATGAGTTTGTGCCGCAAGGCTTCCAAAGGTGTAGCAGGGGGTGGCATCAGGAGCGGGGGCGAGCTCAGAGGTTCATCTTTTAGGGAATCCACACTTTCATCTCGCTCTGGTGTCGTGCGGATAAAGCTATCCTGGCTGCGTTGGGCCACCATTACCTGCGCTTGCGGTCGTAGTCTCGGGGAGCTAGAGTCCGACTGTCTTCGTAGACCTGCCGGTATGTCCGAAGTGGGAGAGCCGCTATCTGCTGCCCGGCTAGGAATGTTGTACCCTTCCTGGGATGAGGAGAACCTCGACTGCTTCTGTGGATCTGCGACCAAGTCAGTTTGATAGATAGCGTCATCTCTAAAGAGTAATGAGCCACAAACCTGGCACGGGTGTGCTTGGCGGCATTGGGGAGTCTAGACTCTGTATTCGGCGTCCGTTGATTCCCATGGACGGACTCGAACTCCTACCTCGAGGGACGCCGTCCATGGTCGACTCCGTTTTCATAGCTGATAGAACTTCGCTCGCGCTAGGCCGCTGCAACGGGTCCAGAGCAAGAAGCTTCTTGAGAAGTTGGTACAACTTTGTCGGAAGATCTGGGCGTTCTCTGCGTTCGTCTTGGAAGCCTTGCCAATCTGTAATCTCCGCTCGTAACTCATCAATATCTTCGAGCTCTTCGTTGATGGTGTTGGCACTCCGGTATGGCAGACGACCGAAACACATAAAGTAGAGAATCATGCCAAGAGAGAAGATGTCGGACTTTGTGGTAAAATTGCCGTAACGCCCGGTCGTCAAGTCTCTCCTCAATACCTCGGGCGCGCAGTAAGAGATGGTTCCGGTGGATCCAGTCGACTTACGGACCATATTCTCAGATTGAACCTCGCCAAAGTCGCTGATCAGGCAGATTATGCCGCTACCCTCTCGATGCAGGAGACAGTTACTTGGCTTCAGGTCCCGATGAATGTAATTGGCAGCATGAAGGTATGCCAGTCCAGATGTGATGTCTTTGAAGAGCGAGTAAATCTCCTCAAATGACAGCAATCTCTGCGAAGCGAACTGGTCACGGGGCAATTCAAGCTGGCCTTTTGATTTCCGTCGCATCTGAGCTTTGAGCTGTTCCTTGGTCGTTTCCTTGGGTTGGTCCCCGATGATGTAGTTGAGCAGGTCACCACCATTACAGTATTGCTGTAGAATGAAAGCGCATGCCACGCTGGGACCGAAGCGTGTCAACTTGACGTCCTCGAGCCAGACATGACGGTAAGAGACCAAGTTTGGGTGAGAGAGCTTTGCGAGCAGCTCGACTTCGATGAGAACTGACAGGTTCAGGGTCAGCGTTTAGGACTGAACAAGAGTCGCACATGCATCCGTACCTTTTTCCAACCATGCGTGATCGTCGCCTACAGGCACGCGCTTACACGCAAAGTGACCTATCCATCATCAGTATCTCTGCCAGGCAGTCGATTGCTCGGGCTCCATACCAAGTTGACAACCATCAATTTCGTGGCGGACGAGCAGCACCACGCCCTTGCCGCCACGCCCGAGCTCCTTCTCCTCAATGAAGAAGGTTTTGAAATAATTCGGACTAAAAGCATCGCGGCGGATGCGGCTGCCCTCCTGGACAGAAGGTGTACTAGAAACGAACTCGGCGTCTTCGGCTTCCTCAATTACGGCAGCCTGCGGATGGGGTAAGCTTGGTTGCACAATGCGACGAATCGGGCTGGGCGGGGGGTGATGGTCGGCGCGAGAGTCGTGGCCGCCGGCACGGAGCATGCGAAAGTAATTCGGGTCGACAAAGGAATCATGGTGGCGGGCGCTGTCGAATTGACGTTCGGGGGAGGATGATCGCAAGGGCTGGCGGCATGTCGGGCATTCGGACAGGCCACGGATCTCGAGTCTCTGGGAGGACGGGTCACGGACTACTATAGCGTTGCGGTGCCGCCTAGAGGAAAGCACTGTCAGCAAGGTGCATTATCTGACCAAGAGGAAGCAAAATGAGGGTAGACCAACAGGACGATTTCGCGACCTTCGCGCGGGTGGTATGGGATCAGCGACATGGCCGGTCGATCTTGGTATGCTACGCTGGGGTCGTCGGACCGACAGAAAGGTCTAGATCATGGCCCAAAAGAGGGCAGCTGCGATGCTTGTTTGTTCGCCAGGCGGAGAAGTTGCTTCGGCCGGGTGTCTTATGACAGGTAAGCGGCATGGACTGCGAAGGTCGGCGTAGGCGTGTCGGAGGGAGCCGCGATGTTAGTTGAAGCTTCAAGGAGCTACAAAGGTAAGGCGAAGCTCCTGAGTGAGTCAAGACAAGGTGGTGGTCAAGGTGTCCAGGTGAGGATTCCGACTGCGTAGGTGAGGTAAGGTGAGAAAGGTTGTTTTGTTGACATTGAATGACCTCACACTGTCTAAGGAGCCACCCAAATACCCCACGTGCCCCGCCACGGAGCGTTCGAACCGCTCTGCGGGGCGCCCATGACTGCCGGGCCAGAGGAACCCACACTGTGCCACAGCCACAGCCACAGAGCATCCAAGTAACTAAGCAATCACCCTTCACCAACCCCTTCAGTAACCAACTCACCTTCATATTTGCAATTGCTAAAACATGATCGTATTCCTGTTTGCTACACGAAACCATGGAAGTGGTCAAACATTTGATGATTTACAGTTTCAGCTAGGTGTCATGCGATTTACTTTTGCAAGACGGCAATGCCACGATGAAATTGCGCTGAGCTCATTCAGCTTCTTCAAGTTGTCGGGCAAACACACGATATCTGCAATGATGAGGTAGATGAGTCCTCTATACGCATCTGAGATCTCGCAATGCAAGATACGATGTTTTTCTGCAGCTTCTACTCGAGACATGCCAAGCTGTCATGAGAAGTATCTGTATCCCTCCCGAAGAAAATGCGACCATCTGCCGGAGTTATATCCAGCTCACCATGTCTTCCCACATAGTCCCAAGAGATCGTTTCCAACATGTACCTAATTCTCTTTCTAAAACCTCGAGACTTGTGTCACAACCCGTCGTTGTATCAATTTCTCAAGGGCCTCAGGACTTCGTCGACTAGTGAGCTTCTCCCCCCCTGCCCAGTTAACGACGATCCTCTCTAACTCCATCACCACCAACCCCCGGCACCGTGGTGAATTGACCAGGGCAGTCTCCGTCGCGGTTACACTTGCTGGGCCAGCTCGGGCCCGTCACCAGGGGTTTGAAACAAATAGAGCCTACCTACGGCTACGGATACAGCTATGGGACCACCGCGGCATATTCGCAACGGGGCGGCACGGAATTCGTATTAAATCGCACCAACGAACCCTTCACCGCGACTCAAAACATCCCCAACCTGGCAAACCCCCCTCAACCCCCGGCTCAACCTTGCCCGTCGTCCACTTCCAGGCTCTGCGCAACGGCAGTGTCTCTTCACCGCCGTGCTCAATTCCCGACAACGGAAAGGAAAGCGTGGATGTGTCAACGCAAGGTCTTCATCCACCACCGTTGTGGCCACAAGATCACCGAGCTCCTTGAGCAGTGCGAAACGTTCGAGTGTCCCGGCATTATGCAAAAACCCGTCATCAGCAACCGCTATACCTGCATTGTGCGGACTTGTATGTGGTACGGCCAGTTTTGAAATGAACTGTGGTGAGAGAGTGAGTGAGACAGGAAGAGAAAATACCAGAGAGTTGGGGAGCATCTCCTGTGTAAGTGAACTACTTCACTATATCCTGCGATATGAGCCGAAAAACGACAGGTTTCTCACAATCGCGTCGACTAGTTCCAACCTTCGCATCCAGCTCATGCAATTAGATAGAACAGCATCACAAAGCCTCATCAGCCCAACATTATACTTCTACTTGATTCCAGCTACTAAAAGTCAACCCCTACCTCAACGTCCAATCCGAGTCCCATCCGTGCCTTGCATTAGCGACGTGCATCTCTAGTAGCGTCTTTTCAACACTAAAGCGATCCATCGCGCAAGTTTGTCTGATGGTCTAGGTCAAATACGGCAGCTCAACATCGGTTAGACATTAAAAAGGCCTGCCTCGTCGCTTCAAATGACCGTTTGGAAGTGAATGAGAGGCATCATCTATTCACAATTTTGAGCAATGTTGATAGTTTAAACCAATTAAACTCCGAAAAGAGAGAGCGCTCTCTTCCCGATGGGTATCATATATGTCCAGTTCTGCCTAGCTCCTGTGGTATTTAACCCCTTCCCGGCTTTTCAATCACCTGAACACTCCTTTGCGCCCTCAAAATACAAGAAACACACTGTACAAACTGAAGAACCAATCGTAAAATCAAAAGGTATCAGAAACGCCACCAATCAAGTGATAAAGACGACCAACGTGCCCGCACGCCAAGTGGGAAAAGGCCACCTCGCCGATGAGAGACATATCGTTCACGAGCGAAAAAGCCCTAGTGAATATCGCGATCATGCAAAATCTGCCACTTGCGATGACACAAATTAATATGCGCTCTCAAGGCGTCTGCTGACTCGTAGTTATCCGTCGTCCCCGTCGGCACACATAAACAGCACGCAAACATGTTCCTGTCCGAGTGCGACTTGGCCAGGAACCGGCTCGACATGCGGAAGCCGTCCTTGAGAACAATGTAGTCCTTGTTGCCGGGCAGCAGCGGGTTCCATCGGTACCCGCACTTGCACCGCTTCGGCGCGTCGGGGATCGGCTTGGAGAGGTCGACCTGGAGCGTCATGGCCTCTGGGCAGAACATGCTGAAGACGCTGACTTTGGGGCGGAGGAAGGCAGAGGCGGTAGTGCTGGTCGTGTCTGCTTCCGAGGGCGCGAAGATGGAGACGGCGTCGCTGGCGATGGCTTTTGGTGTTGGCGGTGTTGGTGGAGGCGAGGGCGGTTCTGATTGGAAGGGTGCCTGGTCGGTGCTGATGGTCATGGTCATCGACATGTCGTCGTCTTCCTCCTCCTCCTCTTCATCTTCGTCGTCGTCATCTTCGTCTTGAGAGATGATGCTGTGGTTGTTGGTTGACGAGCTACTCGAGTATTGCGAGATGGGCCTCGTATGCCGCGAGCGGGGCTTTGAGATGGGAAGGTGCTCGGGGATGTCTGGGCGTCCGGCGGCGAGACGGTGATATAAGGCACCGAGGGCCTGGACTGAGGCGATTCTGACAGACTCGGATGTCTGTATGATATCTGAGATGTTGAGAATGCCGGTCAAGCTCGAGTCAGAAGAGACCCTGCGTAGGTGAGAAACCCGACTACTGAGGTTGAACAGCTGGTTGGAAAGCATATCCCGGCATGGTGCTGTTGAAGCTGTTAGCGTGGCTGCAGACAGATGGAAACGGGTTGCGACGTCGATGGGGTGGAAACTCACTATCGCCGGTGGAGAAGTCGGTTCCAATAAGAACAGTCGCAATGTCATAAGTCTCCTCGATCTGATTCCTCGCAAGCTCCAACGAGATGCTCAAAGCACATGTAATGACATCCCTTCGAATACCGGATTCTGATGATTTCCGACAGTAGTGGTTTCCAAGTGTGCGTTTCCTCTTCCATTGGGTGTAATGCTCGGTGCCCTCGGCGTATAACTCTTTGAGAGACGACACAGCCTCATCGACTGTAGTTGCCTCCATTGTTGACCTGTCACTTTGATGGCATGATGGAGTGGTGCCGAGAGTAGGTAGGATTTACGTGGAGGAACTAACTTAGTATTGAAGGGAGTGAAAGTGACGAGAGGGAGAGAGAGGATCGTCTGGGAGGGAAGGGATTAAGAACGGCAGCCAACGGAAACCGGATCGGGAAAAGCAATGTTGGCGGGTGGCCGGCAATCAGCTGAATGGATGACCAGGGCGAGCTGAAGCCTGAAGCCTAAAGGAAGGGAGGACGGGAGAGTTTTGAGACCGGTGGGAAATGGCAAACAGAGTGCTTATCGGCAGATGGGGGGAACACGACTCAGAACAAGCTTCAAAGCGAGACAACAGATCGAGGAGTGGGTTACCAACAGGTTGGGGCCAAACGGGCGTGCGTGTGTGTCTGTTGATGAAGTGGGTTTTCTGGTTTCTTTGATGCTTTGACTCTCGAAGTATTCATAGGCAAGAAAGGTATGGAGACCGGATACATCATACAGCGTACGGAGTTGGTAGGGAACAAGAGTCTAGAGGGTGTGCTCGGGCTTCTTGGATCGACAGGAAAGCCAGGGAGGAAATGGGGGGGGAGATAGATCGGGCGTGGAGCTACGGACACTAGAGCAGAGCAGATGGGCGGGCAAACTTTTTGAGCCAATGTGGCGTTGGCGGGCGTTGAGTTGGTGGACGCCAGGACGCCAATCTCACGACTCGAGGTGCAAGTCGTCCGAACGGGCGCACGGGAACTCGAGGGGGGCGGGTAGCCGACATGACATGAGGCATGGGACGGCGTTGGCGACCTAGGCGTACGGAGTACTGCGTAGAAGACGGAGTAGACGGGGGGGTCAATGGGCATGGTCCATGGGCAAGGGACATGCAATGCCTGTCAAGTCGAGTTTGGCCAGAGAGTCATGTGCGACGATCTTTTGGATGTGATTCTCGTCTCATCCCGCCGTCAGCCGGCGGATGGTGTGCATGCTGACGATGCTGCTGCAGCTGAGGTTTGGTTTGGTTTCCTTGGGGTCCTTCTTCTGGGGGTTGGTACTTGTTTTGGGGGTCGCAAATGAACGGAGAAAGAATCGAGAAGGGTGAGAGAGTGTTTGCTTTTGCTCGGAAGGGACCGGGAGAATTTTTCCATGTTGGCAGCTCGCTAATGAGTAAAACATACGGTCAACTGAGTACTGTTAGTAAGAATAGGTAAAACAAGAGGAAATACTCCCGGGACGACTTGCTGTGCCAGGAACAGAGATGGCCAGGATGAATGCAGGGCAAGGCAGGCTGGGGCCATGGGAGCATGGGACCAGGCCAAAGTCGCCAAACAAAAGTCGCTTCTATTCGTTGGGATAATACTATGCCACCGTATTGAAGGCGAGGCGAGTCGAGGCGAGTCGGAGGATCCCACGCGTGCGGTTCCAATTGGCAATCCGTTGCTGTTGGTGCTGCTGCTGTTGCTATGCCTGCCGGTGACTTCAAACAAACCACCCAATCCTTGATTCCGTGATGACAAGGTTAAGGTAAAGGTGACAAGACAGAGAGAGAGACTGAGAGTTGGGAGTTTCGTCCGAATGACGACGACGTGACCGGGGTCCCGCCCATCCCGCAAAGAAGTCAAGAGTTCAGACGTGTCATTCGCGTCAAAGAAAGATGGGCTCAGATGGCACCGATGGCACCTTGGGGATCCAATGCGACCGCGCCGTCTGTGCTCAAGCTCAGGGTGGACACGCCGCACTTTGCACCATACTATGTACACAGTTATAATGATGGCACATGGATCCTGACACCCATCAATCTATCAAACGGTCAGCAACCTTGCACCTTGTCCGGTTCGCAGAAACTCGACGGGAAATCCACGGCCAGTCCGGTTCAGTCCGATTCATTTCTGTCTGCTGTCTGGTAATGTCCCTGTCATTATTGACTGTTGACTGTCCTGAGGCAATATAGAGACACGAAAGAGAGTGATTGAGTGGGAAATGAGTCCATTGAAGAAAGGCTGAAGAGGAAATTAGCGTGCTGACTGGGCGGGCGCTACGCTTCCAAACTCCTACCTCAGTTCGGAGTACTTAGGTACTTACTAAAGGTAGAGCAGCCTCTAGGTACGTACTCGCCTAACACCGTCCACCGTCGGTCCATCCGGCGAGCCGGCCCCGAGCTGTGGGCCCCCGTCCTCGGTCTCCCGACATGGCGATTGGCCCACCACCGCAAGCCATCGCTAAAAGGTACTTTTGGATAGGTATCTCAGCCAAAGGGTCTCTCTACCTTAGCCTCTCGAGGCTTCCATTGGATCCTCCGCCGCGATCCTTCATCCTCTAAGCCGTCAACTCATTATCATCCAAGCCGCAAAGACAACCCGAGACAGGCACACGCTCCACGTCACATGCTAGCCCTTCAACATCACTGCCGTCCCGTCCGCATCGGACCGCCAAGCATCGTGGCACTTCTCCCCTAAAGCTGCTTAAAGACAGCTAGCGTCCGGCTTGAGGCTTCCGCTGCCACGACCACCGCCGCCGCCCATTCACCCAAGTGTACCTCCTACGTTCCTGGGCAAGCCACTTCCAGCCTACCTATAACCGGTCTACACAGTCTTATCAGCTCAGCTCAGCTCCACGCTTTCACATGGCCAAGCCTAAAAGCAAACAACGTGGCCTGACCAACATGCTTGAAGATCCGGAATAGTAAATCATCGCACAATGCCGCCTACTCGTACTCGCCAAACCCGTCAGAGCTGCGACCGGTGCCACGCCCACAAACTGCGTTGTCCAAAACAGCCTGGCAACGCCATTTGCAGCCGTTGCTCCAAGGCCGGAGCCGCATGCGTGTATAGCCCCGTGGGCACGCTGCCGGCCTACCAGGACTTGGCTGCAGGACTGGGTGATGATGCCCTGCCCCTGTCAAACGGTGCGACGGACTTGGACTGGGGCAACTTTTCTTTCGATGAGATCCTGGGCTTTTCGTCTGTTCAGCCTTGCGATTCAGCGTCATCTCGCCCTGATCAAGCACCACTAACACAAGCTCCGGCTAACCCTCGATCCCAATGCTTTGAAGAGCTTTCTTCTATTACGGCCACTCTAGATAGAGCCACGAGGGGCCTTCCCCCTATTGACAAGTTCCACGTCCCTGGCCCCGATTCCAAAAACTACTGTCTCGAGATATCCCAACAGTACAGTCACAAAGAGTCTCTCGAGCTCCTACTGGGCGAGACCCAAAAGCTGGTCGATGTATATCCCAAAGCCGTACAATATGCTCTGGAACAGCGCCCAAGCCCCGACTGCAGTGTGCCAAACTGCATACACACCTACAACTCCATCACCAGTCTCCCAGACGAGCCCTTTGCAAACTCGGCGCAGCTGACATCAAAGATCGACTATCCGCTACTAAACCTCCTTCTCTGCTGCCATTACCGATGTGCCGATGTCATGGAGCTCGTCCTCTGCCACGTCCAGCTGTGTCTCAGGTTCCTCGCCGCGGCCATGCAGCAGGATGTCCAGCCTCACGAGTTTGACGTTCCAGAGCTCAAAATTGGCTCATTCACTCCGTCACGGCGATCGTCGCCTTCCATCATCATGGCGATTCTGGTCGATCTCCAGTCCTCCCTGGCCAGTTGTGTCCCGCGACTCAGCTCAGCGCTGAATGAGAGGGAAGGGGACTGTGGCAAGGAAGGCCGCATACTTTTGCTTCAATGCGAGCTACTTGCAGAGAGAGCAGATTCCATTGTAGACCGTCTGAAGAAGCTGAGAGATACTCTCAGCAATGCAGGGCTTCTTGCGTAGAGTCTATCGCGGCCAAGCGGGCATTAGTGTGTCCAACGACGTGAAGGTTTCACATTGGCCGCTTCTTATTGAAACCGAACATTAACACCAATCATATTGATATGATGTTGAAGCTATTGGTCTAAGAGAAAGCACATACCCTTTCCCCGGGTCATCTTCCGTTCGTGCGTCGGCAGTTCTGACGATGGCATGGATATCCCTCCATGAAAAACATCACAACCCCTCCTCCTTAAACTTATCAATACCTCAAACACATATCACAGGTGACCTTAAGTTGATGCGAAACATGGAAAAATATCATTGTTATATATGCCGAGGTGCATGGTCATATAGAAGTTGCTGTTCACTGGTTGATTGACTTTATCCGCCGGGTGTTTTATCAACGGTAGGTCAGCTTCCTTAAAGCGTTGCGTTGAAAGACTCTGGTTAATAACCACGATGAATGCAGCAGATGACCTCTACCTCAATGCCGAGCCTCTTCATTGTCTTGTCCAGTCCCTCGCGTATAAGACTTCGTTTTCTAGGAGTCATCCGTCTTGTTTCTGGGGAATGGTTATCAATCAAACTTCCAGTATTTCTCTCATCTACAACGAGGGTTTGCGATAGTCTAAGCCATATTTCAGAGTCAACAATCAACTCCAACTTTCACGATGAAACTCTCTGCAGCTATCCTGGTACTGGCGTCTCTGGCATCGGCTCATTGTGCGTAGAATAGAACCTAACCTCATGTCAAAATCTTTGGACAGAACTAACAAGTATCAGACGTCTTCCCTTCCGTCACCTACAATGGCAAGACTACGAACGACTGGGAAGTCGTTCGCAAAACAACAAACTTCCAGTCCAACGGGCCCGTCACAGACGTTACTAGCTCGCAAATGACATGCTACCAGCTCGCGCCCGGCAACGAGGGAGCCACGGTTCTCGACGTCACAGCTGGCTCGACCATTGGTTCGTCTAATCTTCCTTACACTATACAAAACACACAGTCTCTACAAATACTAACACCAGATGAACCAGGGTACAACGCCAAAGCGTCCATCTCCCACCCCGGACCCATCAACTTCTACATGGCCAAGGCGCCCTCCGGCACAAGCATCACAAACTGGGACGGCTCCGGCAAGAACTGGTTCAAGATCTACAGCGACGGCCCCACTGTCACCTCAGGCGGCCTAACGTGGCCGACAAACGGTATGACAAGAATCCTCTCTCTTACAATGACTCTTATCCAGGAGGGATTTTATGCTGATGCCACCATTTCAAGGCAAGGCAACAGTCAACGTCCAGATCCCAAAGTGCATCGAGAACGGCGACTACTTCCTCCGCGTCGAGCACATTGCCCTCCACAGCGCCAGCAGCGTCGGAGGCGCCCAGCTGTACATCTCGTGCGCCCAGCTCCGCGTCACGGGCGGCACGGGCACGTACAAGCCGAACCTCATGTCGTTCCCCGGCGCCTACAGCCCCAATGATCCCGGCTTGGTTGTAAATATTTACTACCCTGTGCCGACCAACTACAAAGCTCCTGGGGGTGACGCTTTGACTTGCTGAGGGTTGTCTGAATCTTGGAAATGGGGGCGTGGATGAAGGCAGTCTGGGAATCCCTTGCGCTGGAATTGACGAGTGCTGGAAAGCATTATCCATCACGATAGCTCTCTAGCCCATCTTGCTTGTTTCCACGATTGCAATTCAAACCACATTCTCGATTGCGCTGCGCGTAGCTTGAGCGCACCCTTGCACAGCGCACTTCTCTCCGCTCAATCTCGTCACCCGTCCTTTGTTACATGTGATGAGAACAGGCTCCGAACTTCACTTATCGATACATATAAAAAGACGGCCATATAGGCCGCTTCCCCTCGCGCTCGTTCCTCTTTGCCATACACCACGAGCACCCCAAAATGAGGAGCGATAATAACAGTCACAATCACAATCACACCCACAACAGGGTTGACAGCCGACGACCACTAAGATCGACTGCGGCCCGCAGTAGAAGCTCGCCCAGAGGGTAGCAGTCGAAACAGA